ACGGCGAATGTTTCCGCGTAATAAAATTTCCGGTTTCGGTCCCCCTTTTTTAACGAAATGAAAGACGCCTCGGCGATCGTGGATCGCGATGAGGACAACAACCTAATACAGCGTGACCTTGGGTGGCACACACGAGCGACCTTGAACGGGAAAAATCGCCGAGCACGAGTTCACCACGCCGCGGCGGAAGATGTTCGATGGAACTGGAGTAGAACTGAAACAATTTGTGTTACGCGATTCGCCTTCCTTTTTTACTCTGTGCTTAATCTATTCGATCGTAAAACCGCGCGATGCAGCACATGAATATATGTATGTATATCGCAATCAGGTTGCGGGACTTTTTTTTCAGTTCTTTGACGAAAACGAGTAGGTGAAATTGCGGAGTCGTTGCCATGAAATTATGCACTGTTAAATAAAGTACCGTATACATATACACGTCACCCTGTATAAATATACAATAGAATTATTATATTGTTTAAAAGCTTGATTCGATCAAAGGCTTCATTAAGCTCTAAATTGTGGCGAACAAAATCGTATTGTACATGTAAAATTGCAATATACGGTAATTTCTCCCTAATTCGCCTTAAACACCCTAAACTTGTTTTTACAGTTGTGGACAATCGGTAACTGTACAAAGACGAGCCGTAAAGGCTCGCATAATCGTATCTCCTCTCCCAAAAATTGTCCATTTTTGTGCACAATCTGAACGCGAATTAGGGAGAATTTGATACTACGACGAATCTTTTCGTCGAGAAAATTTCCGTGCCGCGTTTCGCAGGAAAGCTTCCATCGGCCCGATAATTTTTCTACTAATTGGCCCGCGTAAACGTCTGGGCGCAGTGATTAATTCGTGGAAGGATTATATTTAGCGGCGGATCGTCGAATCGGCTTATTTATGAAAGTAATTTAATCATCTTCGGTATAGGTTGCATCGTCGGCGAAGGCTTTTTCAGCCAGCGACAAATCATTGAGTCATTAGTGGCTTGTGCTCCTTGAAAGTTGTTTATACCTGTACACGCAATCATCTCAATATTTGCGGGCATTATTTCAGGGCTAAAAATGAGCGTGTATCGACGGAAGGCCGTTAACGCCGTCGAGAAAGTTGATTAGCCGTCGGTGAATGATTTTTTAATTGCCCGTTTACTAGAAAATATTATGTCACGCGCCGTTCATTGTCGCCGATCCTTTCCTTCGGACGATTACTCACGATTTATTTCGATTTACATGTGCGAGAAACGTACTTGCCATGGTGTAAACACCGATCGAACACGGTGATCGACTGACGACTTGGGAAAAAGTTTCTGCTCGCCGAGGCGACAACCGTGGGATACCAGTCTTTTGTCTTTAGTATTTTTATTTTAAAGAAGGTCCGCCGATTGTCCTTGTTTCAAATGGAAAATGCAAGGTTCGAGCATCGACAAAAATCTTAACTACAATTTTTAGATCAATTTTTAAACATTAAAATCACGATAAGAGAATGTTCCATTATTTATGGGAATTTCGAAAAATTCAAAATAAAAAGGTCTGCCTCGCGAAGAGATTATACAAAGGTGAAAAGATCAATGTTTAAAAAGTCATCGATACTAAAAGAGTATTGAACCGAATTTTAGGTAACAATTTAATTACATATGTATAAAATTCACAGACTAATTAGAAGTCAGCGTATTTTCTCTAATTTCCTATCGATATTTTCTTAATATTTGACTGACGAATGTAAAATTTTGCGATCGACTGTACAGAGTTGCGAGATTCACTTTCATTGCACAAAATTGCCCGGATAGATAGTTTTATTTTGTTGTTCTAACAGATTCTACCGCGATCCCCGTTGCCATTATCGAAAGAGCCGGCGCGTTTGCGTAAAACAATTATTTAATTTGCCGAAGGATTAATTACATTCGAATGATGCAACTTGCATACAATTTTTAATTGCCCTTAGTTAGCGCAGCTTTCGCACGCAATCGAACGTCACGTGTACCACTCGGGAGAATAATACCAGGCTGCCGACAAATTGCCAACGATATTATTCTCTCCGACCGTTTTCTTCTCGAACGATCGCGAAACCGTTTCTTTCTTAATTTTGCGCTAACACGGTGATTCACAACGATAGAGAGCCTGTCCCCGTTCATAAGCAATCTCGCGAAATGAATGAAAATTATAACGTGCCAACGGAGATCAATTTTTAGACGTGTCGGTAATTTTTTACTAATTCGTGCAGTAACGAGAAAATAATTGTCGCGGTGTCGCTAAAAGTTCGGCAAAAAGTTAAATTATTCTAGCGTTGTTTACGAGCGATGTTGCAAAATGATTATAAAGTCGTCTATAAAAAATGTTACGCAGGATATAACTTCGATCATTAAATATTCTAGCACTGTGTTATTAAGTAATCTAGCGAGTACAGGTAAAACGGTGCGTGCGCTGATTTATGGATCGAACATTGAATAGTAAGAAAAATTAAAAGAATTTAAGAATACTGTTAAACTTCTTGAGGAAGAGAATCAATTTTTATTCCTTGCGATTCGAATAGAAAGCATTTCTTTTACATATAAAGATCAGTCTGATGATAAGTCTTCGAAAAATACAACGCGATCCGCAAATAATACGCGTACTATAATAATAATACCTCGATCACCGTTATCAATCAGTGTAGACGTTATTAATGAACAGTTGATTCACTCTCTACACGCAATTGATCGACGATATCGTACGATAAATCTTTGATTCGTTTAGAATCGCGACGTTCAACTCGGTAATGGCTGGAAAAGCTTCATTAAGAAATGTTTGCCGACTGCAGCTTCGTTCATTAACTATTCCATTATTATGCGCGAAACATCCTTATAAATTTTGCTACCTCACGGCGATTTAAAATGGAAAAATATTAGCATTTCCCGGAAAAAACATTATAAAACGTGAAGCCATCGGCGTCGCCGCGCCGGCAACATTAAATTTATCTGATTCGATTTGAAACCATCGGAAAGATCGATGCTGGTTCCAGGGATTATGCTAACTGATAAGAAAAAAAACATTCAACCGAAAAACAGAAGACGAGGTTTTTGCAGGCCTATTTTTATGTTACGGTTCATTAAAATTCAATTACCATTTGTCTGCTAGAGTTCCATTGCTGCGCACAATGCCGCTAATTAAAGTGCTATTGTGATTAATTGATCGAAAAACTGCGTTTTCTATGTAATCTTATTAACCACGGCGCAATTGCAAGCAAGTAATCTTACATAATTCTGTGAAATGTGCACACATATTATTATGTTTATAATTTGGTAATTTTGTAATTTTGCGAATTTGCAATAGAGGAAATTGGTTTAATTGTTTGCGGTAAAAAACAGCGATACGTGGGTACGTATCGGTTTGTGTCAATTGTGTTTCCGAGCGCACACGAAAACTTATTCAGTCAACAATCACGGTCGGTTGATTAATAGGTTGACTGGGGAAAAACCTTCCTCGAAGCATAAAATTCATGAATAATAATTGGCGAACAACGACGACAGTAATTCTCGGTTGTTCTGACAAGTAAAAATGAAATTTAGATTAACGCTGATTAGAAATTTCGCAAAACAGATATTTAACATTTACGGACGTTTAAAATCCGAAGTTTTATGAACATGTAAAACTGCGAGATCTTGGTTATTTTGAAATCAAATTTTCTGAATTCGCGAAACATGAGGTCTCGAAACTTTAAACATTGTAATGCGAAATGTGTTAACATCGAAGATCTGAGAATTTAAAATTATTCTCATGTGCATCTTATCTTGTGCAAGAGATCCTGCAAAAGGTTTTCTAGTCAATTATGTAATCTCCGTTGTTTTCAAGTATCCTTTTGCCATTGGCTATCGGCGCTGTAATGTCCCTACACAAAATCAGCTCGAACTAATGTAAATCGACCATGGATATACATATGCAATTTAATATCGCTGAAACAAACATATCAGTTTACATAACTATGCGAAGATTGCATAAAATACTGAACAAGGCGAACAGAATGAAGTTTATAAAAAGAGAAATAGACAAAATTTACATTAAGATACGTGCTACCTTGTTGCATATAAAAATAATGTTGGGGCGCGTATTGCATTGCTGTATAGAAAACATAATTTTCAGATTGCATTATTGCCTTATTGCTGAGAAGCATAATATTGCTGAAAAGAAGAAAAAACTAACCGTCTAAAGAATCGGCAACAATAAATGATAAATATACATATATATTACAATATAAGCTCAACAAACGTTCAAAATTAAATGCGAAGAACGCATTCTCTAAAGAAACGCCTCGCAAAGTTACAAAACGAACTGACCATTAAAAATCATGACCAGAACCGTCTGCAGACAGCAGTAACAGTACAATGTTAAAAATGAAAAGTAAAAAATACATTCACCAAATAAATGCCTTGCGGGAGGCATTTGCTTACTACGTCTAAAACGAACTAGCTATTAAAAATCGTTACAAGAACCGTCTGCATGCGGTAATAACAGACAGCAATTACGTTGTACAATGTTGAAAATAACGAAATAAAATGATTGGGAATAAGCTTCTCTAAATTCGAGAATCCTAAACCAAGCTTGCCATTCAAAATCATTAAAGGAATATCAAGCAACAGCAGTTAGCAAATCTACGATATAATGTTGAAACTTGAATGTAGAAAATGGAATAATTGAGAAGAAGCTTCACGAAATTGCAAGCAAGGCAAACTGGCGAATTAAAAATCCTTAACAGAACTGTCTGCGAATACATGAGACGAAGCTTTTTAGACAGATCCAAAAGCAATTAACAAGAAATTAAGACGACAGGGACCAGCGAGAAAAGGGAGGAGCAACCTAGAATGAAAAGAAGAAGTTGGCAAGGCGACTATGAGGATGACCATAGACCCAAAAATCGTGGTGCGAGAGGCGCACGTTGGATAAGAAACCGGCGGCCGTAGTAACGGCCCGGGCCCGGGAGCAACATTAAGCCGCATAATTGTTACATTCGAAAGACATAAACGTGCACTGACCTGCTGAGAGGTTCCGCGACCCGTGCGAACGTTGGCCAGTTCACGATACTGGGTGACACTAGTTTCTGGTTTAGGCAGAGAAGGCCGGACAGAGGCCGGGCAGAGGAATCTTCATGGGAGGAGGACGTTCACTATCATCGCGAGTCTTGAACTAGACTGTGCACAGGCACCGAAGAACTTGTTCCTTTCCCTCTTCCTTTTCTTTCAGTCCAACTCGAGCCGGAGCTGGAGGCGGAGGGACACTCGAAGGTTGCCCTCGGCTTCAACGAAACCAAAATGGTGATGCCGAGCATATTGCCGGCGAGCAAGGCATCATAAATCCGAACCGGGACCGTCCTCTCGGCTTTCTCGGGTACCCTGGATCCTTGCCCAGTCCCAGGATCCTTCAGTCATCGCCAGGACCCTCTTCGGATGCTCCCCGAGTCCTCTTCAACCCTGGACCCACGACCAGATATCCCTTTTACCAGAGTAGCCTAAGAAAAGAAAACTTATTCAGAATGAACCTTAAAATTATACAAATATACAATTTCTAAACTGTTTTTCACTCGTAACAGCAAGAAAGTGTCACTTCTAAGTGGAAAGTACAATTCAGATCAAAGCTATAATCCCTAGAGAAATATATACATAACAAGGAATTAGTTCTGCTTGAAGTTAATTAATCAATCAGGTCAAGGCTCGCATTAAATGGCCTGTTGCTTCGTTATTTCCGCGAATTCGACCGGAAAATATTGAGAGTATATTTTCGAAACGTGCCCCTGATTGATACGGAAAAGAAAAACCGATATTTATTGAGCTAGTTACACGAGTATCGCTACTTGAGATGCTACGTGAATCACCGGTCATTGCAAAAACCGCAGAATCAATGAAAGAAATGATCTTCCGACTACGAGAATTTATTCGGTTATGAATAATGTAGATCTTCCGTGAATCACCGACTCTGTTTTCCACGTGTAATTCTGAAACTTCTACTTGTCATTCGACCGGCTTACAATCGCAGACGATCGATTTGTTTGTCCTATTTATTTGGTATTGTCATTTTAAATTGGAAATGTGCGATCTTGGCTCGTAAACCACATTTCACGATCTTGTGTGTTATACTTAGACTGCAGATGTTCATGCAAGATTTTCTACATCGATTTCAATAGGAACCAAGATTAATAGTTCGATACACTACGAATAATTCTATTTTCCATTTACATCTTGTATATGTATTTGCATTAACATGAAATGTGATCGGTTGAAAAAGATGGTTTTCCCAGTTCAATAAGAAATAGATAATTTTCGCTTGTTTCTCAAGAGTTATGCAAGTCTCTTCTGGCTAAATTACTGTAATTATTTGTTATTTCATTCATTCAAATGCTTATTTGCTTACTATTTGTCCGGTGTGCAATAATTCAGAACAGAGTGCATTACAAAAGCAACAGTTTCTAGTTCATTGGCTTTTACTTTTCTCTTTACTTGTACTTCTGTTGGATTTCTACTCTCACTTCAAGCAATCCACAGAAGTGATGAGTGCATCAATATTTAAATGGAAACTAAATATCTGAGTACATTTTCTATAACACTATTGTGTAACAACTATGTTTATGATTTAAATATTTAAATTCTGAATTAAATAACAAATACCATATTTATAACTTAGATGTTTAATTTTTAAATGAAATAACAAATACTATATTCAGTGATCTTAACTTCTGCGATGAAAACACGCGTCTGAACATGGAGATAACACAGAATGCCCGTGTGCTTCGCAGATTGCGACAATTATCGAAAATTGACAAGAAAATAGCGTTTTCATACATTCACAATTGCGTAATGGCACAGGGGAAAGTAGACAGTCGCGAAATGGATACATATTAGTTTACCGTTTGCGTGAAACGCGCTCTACAAGACACAACTATTAAAAGTATTTAGCAATTTCGTAAAAATTCACTAGAAACAAATTCATTGATTAACTACCTGCTTACTTCCCATGTTAATTACTTTCTGTTAGTTATACTTCGCACGTACTTCCGTAACGGAAAATATTAGATTATTTATATTTTTAAAACTGTACGTGGAAGTAGCAATATGGCGACCGAAAGGAGCTGCCATGTTTGGCAATTTATAATAATATATGACATTGTAAACTCTGCAGAACGCAGCTTCCAAATTATTAACATATTATACAAGAAATAAATGTTACCAGAGAGTGAAATCTACTGCAAAAAAAAGCTGTAATGTACAAAGACTTCCCACTGTAATGGCAAATACTGTTATTTACACAGAAACTCATAGTTGATATTACTTAAATAGTAATAATAATAATTTTGCAGTGTAACGGCAATGCAATGTTATTACGCCCAATGAACCATAGTAACAACTAAAAATGACAAATACTCAAGCAGCTCGTAGTTTCGCAGGAACGCCTATCCCGGCTGGAAAAGTATTTTCGTAGAAATCGTTCGAGTTTTCACTGCATCGCGAATTCCACGCTATCGTGTGACACAACCAGCGACCGAATGCCAACGAATGCGTCGTGTGTGTGCCACGAGGTAGTCGTTCTCGAGCACAATATACTTATTTTGCAACGAAGAAAAAGTAAGCGAGAAGGCGCAGAAAAAGAAGGCGCAAAGAAGAGCAAGAAAAACGCGACTGAGATCTATTGGATCGTCCGAGAGGTATCCAAGGGTTCACCTTATTCACCTACGGACCAGAGATCCCATTGATCATTTCGTTCGGCTAATTCTCTTTGTTTACGACACTAGTTCGTGTACACGATCGACACACGGAACAAAAGGAGCACGAGAATGAGAAGTCCGTCGACGGGCAACCCAATAATTACCCCAGCGAATAATTTCACTAGGGTGTGCACCAACCGCGTACCGAAACTGGGCTGAAAATCTGTAGAGTATTGTGGCTGTCCCCTCGCATGAATGTACCAGGTAAGTTCACTTAGCGGCCCTGGTGCTAGACGCAGTTGCCTGTACAGCCAATAAACCATGCGAAACGCGCGGGTAAAAGCTAAGAAGGGTGGGAGATGCCTCCTTCCAGATCCTCTGTTGTGTGTGCACCACCGGTTCTCACCTTTATCCGAGCGAGCACGCAGACCACCGGCCATTAGAGATGGGACTAAGTCTGCAATAGTGGACAAAACTGTAGAACATTGTCCTAACAACGGCTTATTGTTCTCATGCTGCACATTCTCTTAATTCATATACAAATACTTTGAAGTTTCTGAAACTCTAAATTGTATCTGTCTAAATTGTACAAATCTAGTATTGTTTCTCAACATTTATTGTACAACTACTTCTGTTATTGTCCACCAAATTTGTACAATTGTAACAGTACTGCATTATATTAAATAAGACCTTACTGGATTGATGAAGCTTTGAGCTTCATATATAATACAATAATAGACCTTGTGTATGAATCAGCCATTTGATGTACAGCATGTAGCCATTTGTAACTAATTAGAGATATCTTAAGGAAATAACACAAGAAACGTTTAAGAGTAAAAATAATGGAGTTTCACTTGGACAGTATCATAAAACATTGTCATTGAAGATACTTTCCCACATGACTTTGCTGCTTTGTCAGATATTGATGCCAGTAATGAGTAAAGCTGCCTTTGTCTAGAAATACCTGAATAGAAATGTTCTGCTTTCCATCTTTGTGTATCATTCATATGAGTTTAGTCCATGAATGCATTGAAAACTGCAATCAAAATTGATGTGTTGTTAGTATAGGAATACTTTTAGATATTCTTACTGAGCAAACAACTATATCATCATGTTAAAGTATGTCATAGTTTTGAATTTCTTCTCTGATTAATTCTGGAGAATCAGTACATAGTTAATTTCAAACTTACAACTTCATTGGAAAAGAGGCCTATCATTATTGTTGTAGAGCTCCCCATGTACTGCAAACAATCTCTTACTTTAATTAGTAAGCAATAACAATTTTCAATGGCAAGTACTGTGTATTTAAATAGTTAGCTTACATGGCTTAATGGTTGGTAGTATTACTTCCATGATCTCCAACCTGTTGAGAGATTTTTTGTGATTGTAGATAATGAAGGTTCTGCAATGATAGGAAGAAGTTTACTACAAATTTTAAAAAAAATTCTTAAAATTTATTGAGAGACAGGCTCAATAAAAATAAATAATAGAATAAATGAATAGAATTTCAAACTTCAGCATACTAAGAATCATAATCTTGGATTGTACAACATAGCCATCTAGAAGGACAATATTAATGCGTGTAAAGAAGCAGCTTTACTTAAAATTAAAATAAACATTAAGGAATGCATTCCAATATAATGAACTCTTTTAAATTTACTACATTTAACTCTGAACTTACGGACTCTGCGTTTTGTGCGTTACGAAATCTTCAGTTTTAAAATCGGTTCAACAGCGACCTCCTACGGAAAAATCCGGCACTGTTTATCGAACAAACGGATACTAACTTTAAATTTTTTAAATTTTTCAAAATTCAAACATTGCAATCAAAAGTTTTGACGATAGAAATAATTCATCAAAATACAGTGTTGAATAAAAAGAATTTGGAAAAGGATACTGTAAGCCGAAGAGGGCGGGAAACTGCTGGCCAAGCTGGGGTCTTCAAATCGTGCTCCACGGAATTCTGGGGTTCCCCTAATCTTTTCAGGGGTTTCATTGAAAAAATTGATAAAACAATGATTTACTTTTTCCTTCCTACGTAAACTGCATACAATAATGATATTATTGTATTCGAAAGAGTCCATAGAATCGTTTTTTTTAAATAGAATCGTTACTTTTAAAACAGCAAACAAGTCCTAAAGTTGCGCATGCAACTTCGTTTGAAAAATCAATTTCTTACAAAAACCGAAATAAATAGGAAGAACAGTTTAACCTACGAAATGAAACTCAGGTATTAGAATTAACTCAGATTCGCGAGCACAAATCGAACTTGATCCCATCCCTACCGGCCATTATAGTCGATATATTATTTCACTGGGCCAAGATACCCGACCAGGCTGGTCCCTAACCCCTTCTCCCTGTATAGTCACGATCGTTTTTTGCTAACCCCTCCCCCCATACGAAGCATGTTATTTCGTTACGTCTCGTGTCTTCTTCCGATCGACAGTACCGCTGTCTTTGATATTTTCTGCCTTCTTTTTCATCATCTCCTTTTTTTTTATTTCATTACTCCTCGGGCTTAATCGTTATTCTACAGGAGGCTTATTAGTTTTTGTTTGGAAACGCGTCCCTGCTATTTTTAACCCGAGTACTCCCCTTCCTCGCGGTCTTATTTCTTTTCCGATCGTGTTTCTTCCTACCAAGGCGCCGGACGTCGATCTTTTCCATTGCCGGAGAAAAACATGATCGCAAATCGTTGTATTCGCTTTTGTGCTACGTGGATACAATACAATAAATTTTCATTCCGGCCCAATCTTTGAACAGCAATTATGATTTTCACCCCTGCACCTAATAACGTTGCACGTTTTGTACAACCATTGTTTTCGCATTTTTGTGCATTCCATGTTGGTACATTTCTCGTTGTCTAACATCTTCTGAATTTGTTGGTTAAATTGTTATTGCTGTAAAAAGTTGATAGCGATTTCTGAATGTAAAACTGATAATCGGGACTGGTTTGCCGCGCGGTGGTATTTTAGAACGCTAGGTATGAAAGGAATTAGGTAAAATACTTTATTTATAGAATATGAGATAGAAAGAAAAGTTGAAAATTGATGGTAACAGTTATGCTTATTACCGATGCCAGCGAGGCTGGAAGTAATTGAGCGGATTCAATATTAGCTTGGTCTGGTTAAGAATAGCCACGATGGGAATCCCGTTTGACCACCTTGCGTGCCGGTTGCTTACTGACTAAATTAGGGTGAATGTTCCGTTGTACAAAAGTCGTCGTTGTTATTTGGTTGACGAACGTTAATGTTAAACGTCGATAATTAAATAGCGTGAAAAATATTTTTGCAAAATCTCCATAAACATGTTACACTTGTCTATTAACATTGAACTTAACGTTACTTAAGCCCGCGGAATCTATGTATGTATATATTATCCTAATTTGACTATATACGTTAATTTTAACATTTGAAACACCAAAGTTTCATATAAATTCAACTGAATATTTTTCAATTTTCAAATTGGATACGTTTAAATCAAGAAAATGAATTGCCTTAATATTTAATAAAATCGTTAATCTCAAAATTTATAAAATATAGTAATTGATAAATAATAATTAAAGATTTTTATGTACTCCGTTAAGATTGTTATTCGTAAATTTAATAAACAAAATCATTTAAAACTATAATATATCATAGTTGTAATATACGGAACTTCTTTTTAATTAAATTTTATGTATTATTCCATTTAAAAAAAAGCATTATCATTGTGCTTAAGAAAAGTTTCCCTAAATAGACTGGTAGGTCAAATGAATTGTTTCGTATTAAAATTATTATTGGCCCCGCACTATGTTATTGATTTCATTGGTACAAAGCATTAAATGAATACATATGTGTGTATACAGAGACAATAAATATTTAAAAATGATACATAAATTTAATATACGCGAGTATATTTAATTTACTACAAGTATATTAAATAAAAATTTTTTTAACAATCGTTGCCGCATGTATTCGCAAATATGAACAAATATAATTCGTCAACTTCGAATTCACGCCACATACTTCAAAATCATTACAATAGCTCATTGCAATCGAATGAAATTTTACTTTACACACTTATTCTCTTCGATGTATGATGCATATAATTTTTAAATTAATATAAAGTTTTTATAAAAGTACTTTAACAATCCCTTATTCTTTTGTAATCTCTTATAAAATTATGATTCAGATATAAACTTCCTTCAATAATTATTTAGAAACGGTTTTACAA